ATATATATATATATATATATATATATATGCACACACACAAACATGAAAACAAATCTAATCGTGCTAATTAATATATATGTTGTGAATAGCGGTGTAAGTATACTACTAAAAATTCAGGCTTTCGTAGCACTTTTTTTGACCTATGACAGCGGTTAAAACACCTACAAAATTTCTAACAACAGTTTAAAAAGTGCTGCAAAACCGTTGTATCTGCGAGTGCTGCAAACAGCTTTACCAGCGCTCTTTGAAACGCTGCTGTAGATGCAGTTTTTGGCAGCACTTACTTTAGCAGTGATTTTAACCGCTGTTTTATCACATAATTGCAGTAGTTAAAACCGCTGCTAAAAGGTAGAGCAAATGAAAAAAAAAATCAAAAAATTTAATTTTTCTGTTCAAACCAATTAAAATATTTTAGTACTCCTGGAATCTTGGCAAGAGAAAGTGACCATCTAAACTTCAATATCACCTTAGGACCATTTGGTGGCTTGCAGTTTTGAAAAGTAAATATTTCCAGTTGTCTTTATATGTGAAAAATAAAATCATTATATTTGAGTGGTTTGTAGCATATTGATTTCTACTTTCATACAACCAAATGATTCTATCTAGAAAAGTTTATAAACATGGTTTATTAACTGTGTTATTTAAACTGTAATTTTTATGTATCATGTTGTTTCCAAAGAAAACAATCAATAAACAAAGAGAAAATAATGGGAACAGAGCAAGCATATATGATCAATAGAATTTACAAGAATAAATCCTTTTCCTATTCATCCTCTTAAATTATTGTAGTATACACACCTACAGACATATATGCTAGCCTAACCATAAATCAGAAATATGCATATGTTGGATTTCTTCATGTCTTGAGTATGAAACTGGAGTACTTGGTTCTCTTGACTGAGGAAGAGTGCTATCACTCTAACCCTCTTGTTCTCCCCAATGATGTCATTGTTCTTCAAATAAAGAGTGATCTTCTCTATCTTCATCTAAAGAATGAACCATCTCATTAGTTAATGAAAATTTCATCAACTAAAACTTGAAACTTTTAGAAAAAAAGCATGATGTCGAAAAATTAATAAATAAAGACAAGGTAAGAATCTACCAATAAAGCACAGTTCTGCAAAGACTTACATTCTTGTTGCTCCTTGGACATGGATAACTCGAGCACTGAAACTGTAAGCAAAAAAGATTAAAAGAAAGAAAAGTACAAATCAATCAAAACTCTCTAAGAATAAGCAACCATTTCTCAGCCCTTAAGAGCCATAAAAAAGAAGACATTACATGCCAGAAAATTGCTTCTGATTCTGGAGAAAAATAACTTCCACAAGATTTGAGCTGTCTTAAATTTTCTTCTTCTTCTCTTGTGACACTGTCAAAACTTTTATTTTGACTAAGCAATTAGATTTTAAAATAATGAATGATATGAAGTAAGTCATCAAAACAGACAAAAATAATGTTTTGTGAAGTAAATTATATTATTGATTGGTCAAAGCAATCTATTCTTCCAACTAAATAACAATACTAGAACATAACTTTTATACCTACCCATTCAATATCATGATGATTAAGTTAACCTAACAAACCTCAAACAAAGAGTTTCAATGAAGATATCCAATCTTTCACTACACATGATGTAAAAAGAGAGAAATATGATTAATGTATTTTCATTAGTTGATGTCCACTTTAAATCCATCATTCAAAGAAAGGAGAAAAATAATAAGTTTCAATGTATTTTCATTGTTTAGCCAGGAGCTCACAGACAATGATAAAGAACGTTATATTCCCTAAAAATGATTTCTTTCTTCTTAAATAGTTTTATGCAAAATGAAGTTTCCTGCTGCGCTAGAACTGCAACTTGTAGCAAAAATAAAGTGGTGACTTTGAAATGTATTTGCATGGATTTGGCATACATGCTCTTCGTTATTGTGGAGTTGTGGATAAATAAATCATAATAAATCTTATAGCATAAAACTTAACCATGTTACGGGTAAAATGTTAGCATTAAAAAAAGAATTTTTGGGATGATAGAAATTATACCTGACTCGAATTTGCAAAAGGCTAATTACTGTTTTAGCATTCAAAAATCAAATGAGTTGGCGGATAAAACAAAAAAAAAAAGACTAAATAGAAGGAAATCATTTATAAATCAGAAATAGATATGGAAACAGATCATTCAGAAAAATTGAACAGATTACCCTGAAGCATGAACAATATACCCTGAGTTTGCGGAAAGTTTTAAAATCTAAGGACCTACATGCTTTAAATTCAACGATTTTAGTTTCCACAAGCAGATGACAGAGAAGAAACTAAAATACCTAAGTTGAAATCGTATTAAACCAGCCATTGTTAATAAAAATGAATAAACTAGTAGAAACCTAACTTGGAGCCTGAATAAAAAACCTAAGTTGAAATCGTATTAAACCAGCCATTTTAGTTTCCACAAGCATATGACAGAGAAGAAACTTATAAAAAAAGGGGAAAACAAAACAGAGAAACAAGAAAGAGTATATCTGAAATCAAGAGACATTCGTGACCACGGGAGTTCCATCTTGCCGCTGCCAAGGAAGATCGAGGGAAATGGTGGGAATTACTCGGCAACCCTCCCTTTCACGTGAGCCAGGTCGCAGCCCGAACAGCCAGTTGTCGCAGCCGTCCACCGCCGACTAGACGAGAAGCGTCGCCATCTTTCGCTTCCTCTCTCGCGCGTCCGAGAGGTGAAAACGTCAAGCGATTGTCGCAAAATGAAAGTAAGAAATAAGAAATATTTTAACAGCGGTTAAAATTGCTGTTAATGACTCCCTTTAACAGCGGTTTTAAAACTGCTGTTATTTTTTGCTGTTAAAACATCAGATTTTTGATAGTAAGTAAGTTAAGCAAACTCGTGAGTTAACCCAAGCTCAGCTTGATAAATGTCTTTTGAGTTGAGCTCAGTAAGGAGTCTAGCTTGAGCTACCCTCGACTCGGTTCGTTAGCTCGCAAGTATGCTTGTTTAAAGATATATCTTAATTTTTTATATTAAGTGAATATTTTTTATTAATTTAAAGGACAATAAAATCTTAATTATGATAATAGAATATTTAGACTTGTTGCGTCCAGGAGTATTCGCGGCGGTAGAGA